GGGGGGCATCATTTAGGCAGAAAGACAGAAGAAGAAAGAGAATAGAATAAGTGTCTACACGTTTGGTGTGTAGTCCTTCGTCTCTCAGCAGAAGTCCATCGCTGCTGCATCATAGCCCTCTGGGGAGGGCAAGCAAAAGGGGAGATGACAAGGGGGAGGAGGGGGGAGGGAAAATTAGGGACGAGAGGCAACAAGGAGAGATAGAGGAGGGTGGAGGAGGGGAAAAAGAAGAGGACAGTGAAATGTCAGGGGAGTCTTTCCAAAATCTTTTTTTTTTTAAATGATAAAATGAACATTAAATGATCTGAAGCGCCTCGCTCTCGAGCTGCTTCTGTGATCTACACACGACACGTAACGCAGTCAAAAACACAGAGCGCACTCTCGTAGGGGTGTAAACCAGCCGGGGTGGGGCATCCTCTCTCTACTAAACTGGAATTGTTCCTCTTGCCAAAAAAAAAAAAAAAAAAAAAGAGGATCGAGAGTCAAAGGCTGTGCAATTTACGGCAGGTAATTGCAGCTCTTCAGGGACAACACGAAAAAGCACAACAAGAGGATTAGGTTTGATTACACATTTAAGAACAAGCAACCCAGGTATCAAAGGCAAATTTAAGAACCTGTTCAAAGCTGACACATGGCACGCACATGGCGAATTAGGGAGACATCTGCGCTCGGTAATTTATTTATCAAAGGTAAGACTGGGCTTGGGGTTCAGTCCGGTCAGTCGTATTACAAAGATGCAGATAAATAAGGTGAAGTGCTTTGGAAAGTGAATGACAGACTGCAAACCGTACAGAAGTGATTGAGGAATAGCGTCTGAAATATTATTTCTTCTGTTAGGGCCGGCGCCGGTCCTTTAGTGGAGATTGCGGACTTTACAGAGGGATAATCACAAAGTTGCCCAAAGTTAACAAAGTGAGGTGTGACGGTGTTCAACCTCTCAACAAAAACCACCGACATATTTAAAAAGTTATGCAAAAATGTTTAATCTGCTTTTCTAACACATGATGTCAAAGGACCCAGACGAGTCAAAACTTTCCACTGAGAAGAGGGACTCTGCTTATCCTTGAGAGGACAGCCACAAAAACCATACCCAACAATTCCCCTTGAATGACAGACTTAAAGTGAGAAGCAGTACTCAGGAAAACCTTTTCTCTGCATCGTGTACCTGCACTTTCCTTTAGACTTGGCTCATGAACATTAATGATGTATGATAATAATGAATGAAGCCTTTTTCTCCTGCTGTTCATGCTTCACCTCCACCATCACGTGATTTCATCTGTTTAGAGGCAAACATCACATGTTTCTCTGCGTGTTGGTGAAAGAGCTCAGGTCCTGGTGTGGTATTGCTTCAGTATCTCTGCAGACCGTGTCTGCATGTTGTAGTCGTGCACTGCAACCAGAAGGCAACGTGCTGTTGGCTTTTTGGAGGACGGCATCACCTCGCGATGAACAACACGCAGAGAGCAGAAGAATGTGGGCGAAACAGTGGCGAGCGGCGTCGCCGCCACGTCCTGCCAATGAGCAGACTTCCGCTATATTGCGTAGCAGCCCCCTCTCCCCATACGTGGCGATTAAGTTGGCAATACATCGCTGCTCCGTCTGGAAATTCACAATGGACAAAGACCTTCTTTGTCGTTTCGTGAAGCTGAGAGTTAAAACAACGTAAAGTGTCCCTGCTGCCGTTGTTTGAGGTGTGCTTTTGTGCTGCTTTGTGCTTAACTCATTTGTTGCTCCTTTCAAAAAGACAAATTTTCAGCCAGTCAACATTCGACCAGCACGTAGCATCACGAGCTGTCGTACTGCATGCTTTTGGCTTTTTGGAAACGTGTCCCTGCGGCCTCTACATTGGTTGAATTCCCACAATCCTTCTCACAGATCCACACTGGTGCACCAATGGATGGGTAGAACCCTTAAGCACCAACGGTGAAGTAAGCATGAATAGTTTTCATCAATTAAAAAGCAGGTGGCTCCATTTTGGGGAACTTTCCATTGATACTCATGATTACTGAGGCCATGCCTCTGGGAGGGGGGGCATTTCGCCTGTAGCAGTACCCCTTGTTCTTGTTGCTAATTTTTATTTTCTGACTCTGGACTCGTCCTGCTGCTGATCAGATGCTTCTCGGCCGTGCCGCTTATAAATGTTTTAAACCTCAAAAACCTTTGCACGATACTGTAAATAATTTGG